GGCGGCCCCCTCCCTGCGGCAGGCAGGGAGCTTCTCCAGGCTCCACTGGTTAATGAGAACCAGTAAGCATCACCCATATAGGAGTTAACCCATTAGAAGAGACCACTGGGAGCAGCGAGCACAGGGGACAGCTCTCCTGCAGTGTCCACTGGGGCAGCCATACCACCAAGGGAGTGGCCAGCAGTGCTGGGCCTCTGCCATCTTGCCTGAGAACACACGGGGTAAAGTCTGCCCCAAATCCCTTTCCCTCCTCCCGGCCCTTGGCTATAGTTCCGGGTGAGAGGAGGCTCCTGGCGGCCAGGGGAAGAAAAAAAGGCCTCTGGTGGTCAAGGGGAGGGGCTTGGAGGAGAGAAAGCGCCCTGACAGCTGGGGGGTGGAGGCTGGGAGGGAGTGAAAACGCCCCTGGAGGCCAGGGGAGGAGGTGGGGGAGGGGGGAGAAAATGCCCCTAGTGGATAGGGATATGGGGAGGAGAGAAAATGCCCCTGGCATATGGGTCCCCTTGCCCTGAGCCCCTCGTCAGCCCCCAAACCTCACTCTCACAGTGTCCCCTGCCCCCAGCCACCTGCACTCCATCTCACACATCCCCAATGCCCTTCCCTGACTCCTGCACCCCAACATCACCAGCCCCCTGCCCTCAAGAATCCGGGCAAGACCAGGTCAGTCTGTTAGTCACATAAGAAAGTGCTGTCCAGACACACACACCTCACACACACAGAGCTTTCTTTATTTCAGATTTGTTACCTGCTTCTCCAAGCCAGTCAAGAATCTCTCCTCTCCTGATTCTAGGAACTCTATGATGGGTTTCAGCTGTGTTACGCTCTGTATCAGCTCTTCCCTATATCCCAGTAATAGAGCAGACAGGGTCTTTCCCTCTTTGGAGCTCCCTGGGGAAGAAAGATTTGAAAATGCAAGAGAAAAAACAAGTCAGGGTTGAAGAAAGTGACAGCAACGTATTTTCCACTGAAGTGAGAGAGTGAGTCACTGTGAGAGATCTAAGCAAACAGCAAAGCTTATCCTGAGCATAAGCAGCAGAGAAACACACTTTACTATTCTCTTTAAACTTTATGAAAGAAAAAAGTCTCATTTATCTAACAGAGCACAAAACCACAAAGCAAGCTGGAGGTTAACGGCGGGTTTGCAAGGCCACTGCTTTGTGTCAAACTCAAATAAGAAAGATGTTTTCAATCCTGCGGCAGAGTCAGAGAACTGACCCAGGCTGGCCATCTAGCCACTGATGTAATTCTGCAGTTAGTGAAGGGCAAAGAACATTTATGGAATTGCTCCACTGCAGGCAAGCAGAAAGAACGGAAATGCAAAATCCCATCCCAAAAAGATCTGTTAGTGTTTGTGGCTATACGACACATGGCCGAGAACTATGAAACCCCCATGCGTAAAAAGCAGCCTCCTGGGAGAACTACAGATGGATTTAGCAGGCGCTGGTGAAGAGCTTCTCCAGCTCTCTAAAGCTCTCATGCCCACTCTAGCCTCATGTGCCAGTCCTCTTACCTGTGTTCTGCAGGGTCTCTCCACTGTCCTGCTCTCTCTCAACTAGTGCTGCTTTTATCATGGGGTGTGTGTTTGGGAACAGCTTCAGCACAGACACAACCGTCTCAGCAGCCAGACTCTGCTCATCCCTCACTTTGCTGAGCAGTCTCTTGAACACTGACTGTTCTTCTGCATCTTCCAAGCATGCCACCAGGACCTGTAAGACCAACAGGAAACCGCTAGCCAGGGCTAGTAACCCAGTGAAGTGCTCTGTGCTGTGGTTCACCACGGTCAGACACCTAGCTCAGTGGACAGCTTCCTGAATGGTGAGGTGCCCAAGGGCGGGTACTTCATCTCTCCAACCAAATTCTGTACAGGCAGTCCCCGGGTTACGTACAAGATAGGGACTGTAGGTTTGTTCTTAAGTTGAATTTGTATGTAAGTCGGAACTGGTACATATTGTAGGGGAAACTCTAGCCAAACATTTCTCCAGAGCTCAGTTTTATTCTCCCACACCTCACTTCCCTCAGTCCTTAATTCTCAAGCTGAGGTGTCTGCTGAGAAAAGCCGCTCCGCGTCTCCCTGGTCTGCTGGGGGGAAGTAGCTAGTGCGGGGTTGCCTCACCCCGTTTGTAAGTAGGGACCCGATGTAAGTCGGATCCATGTAACCCGGGGACTGCCTGTATTCAGCCACAGAAACGCTTTAATTTACCCATAAGCCTACAGGAAGGAGAATGACAAATTCACTTGGCCAGCTTTTACACTTACTATCTATCCATGCAATACACTGCAGTTGGCAATGGCCTTATTGGCAGCCTGAATACATCTCTTCCGGAGCCTCTGTGGGAGCCTGATTCCAACAATACCGAGGGGCCTAATAAAATGCATTCAAAGCAGTTTTGGCAACCCAAGGCCAGAGTGGGGAATCCTAGATTTTGCATGCACGGGGAGGGGGAAGTGTTTTTAAGCAAGACTATCTGGGAACCTTTGACCCAGATCAGAACACCAGACATACACCATAAAATGTTGGCGCCTGATCTTCAGCAATGCCAAACACACACAGCTTCAGCTAACGTTAGAGACCAAATGTGGCGTTGTAAAGCCTATCACTATATCCCACACCAGGCCACTGGGGTGGATGTGCTTGTGATGAAGAAGTTACTCACCCTGTGAGGTAACGATGGTTCTTCGAGATGTGTGTCCTTGTGCGTGCCTGCACCAGGGATCGGAGATTTTTGCGAACATTGCTGCTCGTGCTGCGCCTGCACGCTCAGCTCCTTGCTCCCCTGCTGTTCTGTGGATTGCATGCACGGCGCAAGCTCCGTCTGTTCCTTTTCTACCTAAAGTCCCTATAGACTTCAAGCAGAGGGGAGGACAGGAGTGTAGTGGATCATCCACAAGGACACACATCTCAAAGGACCATCGTTATCGTACAGGGTAAGTTCTTCAGCGAGTAGTATTCCTGTGGATGCTCCACTCAGGTGACTCCGTAGCAGTACCCGCCCGATGGAGGTGTGCACAGGAGTTTGATGTGGAGGAAGGAAGAACCGCTTCTGCTAGGGGCGTCGCAGGTATTGGCCCCTTCTGTAGGGTGTACTACTGTGTGAAAGTATGATTTGAGGACCAAATGGCTGCCCTACAGATGTCCACTAATGACACATTGTTCAGGAAGGCCATCGTAGTGGCCATCGCACACGTGGAGTGAGTCCTGATAGTCTGTGGGGCTGTTTACTCTGGAGTTCGTTGGCAGTATGTATGCAGCCTGCAATCCATTCAGATAGATGCTGTGCCAAAACAACTGTTCCTTTGTGAGGTCCTGCCCATGCCACAAAGAGTTTGTCAGATTTTCTGGTTGCTCTCGTTCTATCGAGGTAGAAACCAATTGCCCTCCTTGCGTCTACAGTGTGTAACTTAGCCTCCTTGGAGGAGGCATGAGGTTTCGGAAAGCAAGCTGGTTACATTTACCTGGGTTCATTTACCTGAAAGTCGGATGTGAGCTTTGGGAGGAACTTTGGGTGGGGCCTGAGTATCACCTCGTCTCTGGTAAAGGTGGTGAAGGGTAGCTCTGCCATGAGGGCTGCGATTTCTCCTACCCTTCTTGCTGATGTTATTGCCAGTATGAAGGCCACCTTCATAGATACGTATTGTGGTGGCATGGTGGCTAGAGGCTCAAAGGGTAGTCTGGTGAGTGTGCCAAGGCACTGGGGGGCGGGGGAGAAGAGACACATGTTTGGACTCATTTTCTGCAAGCTTGTGAGAAAATGTGTCATCATGGGATGTGCAAAGAGGGAGAAGCCGTCTACTGGGTCATGGAAGGCCATGATCGCCGCCAGATGAACATGGATGGAGCTGGTGGAGAGGCCTGTGTCATTGAGGTCCATGAGGTAGTGAAGCAAGGTAGGGATGGGGACAGTAATGGGATGTGTAAGTTGTACATCGTGCACCACTGCTGAAAGCGTGTCCACTTGTTTTGATAGGTGCTTCTCATGGAGAGATGCTGATTGTTTAAGAGAACTTGCTTGACTCTGATCGAACAGGTGAGTTCTTCATCCTGGAACCATGGAGAAACCACACTGAGTTTCATGGTTTTGATATTGAGGTGACGTGCTGATGTGGTGCTGTGTGAGGAGGTTTGGAACTGCTGGGAGAGGGACAGGTTGATCTATCGACAGGTAGCGTAGATAAGGGAACCAGAGCTGTCTTGGCCAGGCTAGGGCTATTAAGATTACTGTGGCACGATCGGATCAGATCTGGCGATAAGCAAGATTGGCGGAAAGGCATAAAGTAGGGGAGCAGTCCAGCGAATGGTGAAGGCATCCCCTTGTGATCTCTTGCCCAGTCCTGCCCGGAAGCAGAATCTATGGCATTTGTGGTTGTGAGGAGTTGCAAAGAGGTCTATAGTTGGGAAGCCCCACTTGCAGAAGACTGAGAGGAGGATATTAGTATCGATCTCCCACTCATGCAGATCTGAGAAATGTCTGCTCAGTTTGTCAGCTCTTAAATTCTGCTGTCCCAGTATGTACTTCGCGAGGCTGTGTTGGATTGCTATATAGTTGGTTGTGAGCCAATGTTGCAGGCAACACATGTGCAGCCTTGTGAACAAGATCACAAACACTGTGGCAGCCATATGCCCCAATAATTGGAGGCACGTCCGGACTGTAGAGAAGGGAGCCTTTGTGATGAGAGGAAGAATCATAGAATCATAGAGCTGGAAGAGACTTCAGGGGGTCATCAAGTCCAGCCCCCTGCCCTAGGCAGGACCAATCCCAACTAAATCAAACCAGCCAGGGCTTTGTCAAGCTGAGATTTAAAAACCTCTAAGGATGGAAATTCCACCACCTCCCTAGGTAACCCATCCCAGTGTTTCACCACCTTCCCAGGGAAATAGTTTTTCCTAATATCCAACCTAGACCTCTCCCACTATAACTTGAGACCATTGCTTCGTGTTCTGCCATCTGTCACTACTGCAAACAGCCTTTCTCCGTCCTCTTTGGAACCTCCCTTCAGGAAGTTGAAGGCTGCTATCAAATCCCCCCTCACTCTTCTCTTCTGCAGACTAAACAAACCAAAATACCCTCAGTCTCTCCTCATAGGTCATGCGCTCCAGCCCCCTAATCATTTTAGTCACCCTCCGCTGTACCCTCTCCAATGTGTTCACATCCTTTCTATAGTGGGGGCCCCAGAACTGGACACAATACTCCAGATGTGGCCTCACCAGAGCCAAAAAAAGGGGAATAATCACTTCTCTGGATCTGCTGGCAATGCTCCTCCTAATGCAACCTAATATGCCATTAGCCTTCCTGGCTACTAGGGCACACTGTTGACTCATATCCAGCTTCACATCCACTGTAATCCCCAGGTTCTTCTCTGCAGAACTGCTACTTGGCCATTCGGGCCCCAGCCTGTAACGATGCTTGGGATTCTTCCGTCCCAAGTGCAGGACTCTACACTTGTCCTTATTGAACCTCATCAGATTTCTTGTGGCCCAATCCTCTAATCTGTCCAGGTCACTCTGGACCCTATCCTTGCCCTCCAGAGTATCTACCTCTCCCTCTAGCTTAGTGTCATCTGCGAACTTGCTGAGGGTGCAATTCATCCCCTCATCCAGGTTATTAATAAAGATGTTGAACAAAACCGGTCCTAGAACAAAATCCTTGGGGCACTCCGACCGCCGACATGACATCGAGCCGTTGATCACTACCTGTTGGGCCCAACAGTCTAACCAGTTTTCTATCCATCTTACCGTCCATTTATCCAATCCATACTCCCTTAATTTGCTGGCACGAATATTGTTTGAGACCGTATCAAAAGCTTTGCTAAATTCAAGGTATATCACATCCACTGGCTTTTCCATATCCACAGAGCCAGTTACCTCATGATAGAAGATAATCAGATTGGTCAGGCACGACTTGCCCTTCGTGAATCAATGCTCACTATTCCTGGACAAGGTAGGATCTTGCTGTAATCGAGTCTAGTAATGTCCCAATGATTCTATCTTTTGAGTGGGTTGTATGGTAGATTTTTGCATTCTGATAAGCAGGCCAAGTCGGGAAAAACATTCCCTGGTAACAGTTGTCATGATAGTAGTTTAGTGATAGGTAGGGCCTTTGATTAGACAATCATCGAGATAAGGGAAGATAATGACATTTAATCTTCTGAGAAAGGCCGTGAGTACAGCTAGCATCTTTGAAAATACTCAAGGGGCTGTAGAGAGGCCAAAAGAAAGGACTTTGTATTGATAATGATCTTGGCTCACGGCAAATCTGAGAAATCTTCTGTGGGACGGATGGATAGTTACATGGAAATATGCACATTGTAGATCGAGGGCTGAGAACCAGTTCCCTTCATTCAGTGCAGGTATGATGGTTGCTAGGGTCACCATTCTGAATTCTGTGTTGCGAATGAACTTGTTGAGTTTCCTGAGACTGAGGATTGGTTTCCATCCCCCTGTTTTTTTGGCTGTGAGGAAAAAGTTGGAATAAAAACCCTTTCCCTGATGTTCTTTGGGGATGGGTTCTATTGCCCCTAAGGTAATGCCTTTCGCACCTCTGCCCGTAATAGAGGCTCATGAGAGAGATCCCTGAAGAGGAATGGGGTAGGGGGAATGGATGGGAAGGGGATAGTATAACCGGATCTGATAATTTCTAGGACCCATTTGTCTGTGGTAATTTGGGCCCATTGTAGGTAGAAGGGTCTCAGGCAGTGATGGAAGGTGACA